GGCCTGCCTAGAAGCTGAGCTGTCTGCACAGTTGCTGTTTTCTTCTCGGGGGGAGCCAGCGATTTTAGACCAGACCCACTTCACCTGAGGCACGATGAGGGTGGATGGCAGGTGCTGAACTGGAAGGGACGGAATACAGTTGCAGAAAGTCAGCAACATTGTTACCTCTGTCTGTCTGTTTCTCTGTCTGTCAAGCATGACAGGCGTGAAAAGCTCTCTCTCACCCGGTAAGGTTGGCAGAGGATGGCTATAAAACGTGAACCTTTGCTCAGAGAAATTAGTGTGAACTTGCACTCCACGGCACATTGATCTCCAAAGGTGCTGCAAGGAAACAGCAAAGCAGAGTCGCCCCACTGACGTGAGAAGGCGGCGACTCTGTGCAGAAGTGGGAGTCTACCTACTTTTCCTCCCCAAAGTTGGTGGCCAGTCGTGTCTAGTATTTCACTGCTCAGAGTGACTCTGTCTGTCCTGAGACCTGGAGCTGAAGGAGGGCACAGGACAGATGCCACACATTCTCCAACCCAAAGCTAGGGAATGCCCCTCCAGACTGAGAATGGTCACTCAAGCTCCTCGGAACCTGATCGTAACCCCGTGTGCTCATCCCACAAAAATTTCCTGAGCTAAAGAAGCATTTATGAGCAGAGCGTGTGGGGTTCTTCCTACACAACTTGAAGGGGAGGGTCATGCAGCTCAAACAGAAGGACACAGGTGGCTGTGTGCTAGAGGGGAGAGTAAATCAATCTCAGTTCCCCTCCAGATAAGATGATGAGCACACCCTGTGAAGTTCAGAAGCGGTGAATGTGAAACCAGTGGAGGGGCATACATCCGTTGCACTTGTCCACATGAGGCAGCATGCAACTGCGGAACGCTCCAGGAAACTGCAGAAAATTATTTCACGATAATGAAAGCGTATCTTAAAGAGAAACACGGAACTTCCATGGAACAGAAATCTCCCATTTCAGGGCATAAAGACAACTATCAATTGACAGGGGTGACAAAATCTATCCTGGGGGGGGTGGTATTTTCCTCACGCACTTGTATTCTGAGTGGGTTTTCACGCCCCCGCCTTCTGAGGCATCCGGTCCCAGTCACTGAAGGAGACTTGCCAGGTGAACCATGGCTTTTCTATCTGTCCGCACAAAGAAAGCATTTCCTGAAGAGTTGTCTCAATTTTTCTACCGAAGTTTATCTGAGAATCGTAAGTTCAGTTTGCCCAAGGAATCTGGAAGTGAATCTTTTTGGTCATTCAGCTTGTGTTCTCACAGCACAAAGCCAGCCAGGCAACTGATTTCATTAAGAATGTTACCTGTTTTGAAAAGCAGAGGGACTCCCCACAGGACTTGGTGACTTGAGGTGTTGGGAGGTAGCAGATGAGGCGGCACACTGAAAAGCTGAATCCCTCTGATGCAGAGGATAAGGCAAGTAACTCTGAGGTCCATCTGTTCCAAGAGATGACGAATCATGCTCAGAAGAAGCTTGTTCAGATGGATCCTTGATCATCTGGGCAATAAGGAGACAAATTTCCGTAACCAGAATTGACACCTGACGTAGCAAAAGAAAGCAGCTGGGGAGAGAAAGGAGGGGAGAAGTTGTCCTCCACTTTGTGGAAAGGAATAGTAAGGTGGATATTAGAGGTAAGCGGAAAATGCACAACGCCAATCATAAACCGGGTATGCAGAGACCCACTGCGAGGCACATGAAACGGAAGCCCTCAGAAGAATGGCCCATGCAGAATTCCTCATGCTGATGAGTGACTGACAAAAGCTAATCAAACTCATTGTTTCAGCCAGGTACTATCCATCTCATTTGTGAAAGGGTAGGACACCACAGGAAACAGGAGCAAGCTGCTCCTGTCTTTACGTACAAAAGCTTACATTGCTGCACTAGGCCACTGAGCACCTCTCCAAACTAGCTGCGCTGGCCCTTGACACGTGAGGGAATCTGTGCCTCACAGAAGCACCCTGAGAGAGGTTTTTACAAAACCTGTATTTTCACCTTCACTTGCCAAGTGGGAGTTCAAGTGGATTGTGACTAAAGAGTGAAAAAGAAACAGAGTAGCAGCTGGCTGTGTGATGAACGCGGTTTGGTTTGGTGACGAGTGGGGAGACGTCGGAAGACCATTTGGTCTCATCTTTGATATCAGACGTAATTAGTAGCATGCCTGATATTTGAGAGAAAACCAGCAGCATTAACTGATCGGGCCTCCAATCCTGACGTTCCTCAGACACACATCCCGTGCCTTTCAAGGATCCTTTACTCAGAGAAGGATAAAGAAAATGGCTGAAGGCAAATTCTACTGCCTAGGACAGGTGATGGGTCGTGGTATGGTTCCCTCCACAATTAATCTGACTCCTCTGGTAATACTGACGGCAGATTAGTATGTGTGCTGGTCATCTCACTTAACACTGGCCACGTGAAGGCTTGGCATCCAGTTTTAACTAGCCGTCCATTTGAGATAATCAGTGAAGAGAGGTAAGGACTGCTCGTATACGATACGCTCCAGTTGCCTTAGATGGTGATTTTATGAAAGAACAAATCAGCATCTTTCCACCGTCCATGGCAGGAGATGAGATGTTTAGCTCAGACTAGATGTCAAACCTTTTTCTGGCTGTAATTACCTTAGATGATTGCTACTTCACTGCTGTCCATTCAGTGTTCTTTCTGACGTTACTGCAGATGACAGTTCAATTATTAACGGATAGGCATTAAAAACAGATGAAATTCCATCATACTTGGGTCGACTGGTCCCTTGCTACAAAGGCTGGAGTCTGACAGAAGCCAGAGGATAGTCAATGAATGACAGGCAGAGAATGACCAAGAATAATACCCACAAAGAGCAAACATTCTTTTCCACTACAGGGTCTGTATTCTGCTTGAGCGGTACTCGGCAGAGATGGTCGGGACACAAAACCCTTCAGCACATGGCTGTACCTGCGGATGCACGGCAATGCCTCTAGAGCCTTTCCTTGTCAATATTAATTACCTTCTGCCAGTGCTCATCTAAGGTAGGTTTGAATTCATGGCTGAGAGTGAAGCAACCCTCTATCCTATTGCTATAAAGATGCGTCCCAGCTACAGCTTTTGGGTGAAAGACTTCGGCACATTTGACAGAGCTACAACTTCTTGGGCACAACTGCCATGTAGTCCAATGTAGCAATGCAGCACATGCCAAAACGCTGATGTGGTCTCGCATCAGTTCAGGTCTGTTAGTGTGCTAGCAGCGACTTTCTTTAGCAACGGTACAAGAAATCCCAGACCGAAGGTTGTATTTGCACAAGAAACTCCCATTCAAGATCATGTTACCTTGGTTTTGCTGCTGCTAATAGTCAAGCGAGTTGGACTAGTGCCGACACAAATACGTTTTTATCTACTACACCTCCAAGTGAAATGCAGGCGTTGGCAAAGAGCCGTTTGGTCTTTTCCATTCTCCATGACAGATAAATAGAATGACCCATTGCTGTCTTCGGAACCCTCAACCCTCCTGGTGGAACTGTTCCATTAGATAGTAACAGGGGAGACACAACTTTCCACTTGTTACTTTTTAATTCGACAAGCAAGCTCCCTACCCTGGTCTTCAGGAGAGCAGACTTTGGCCTCTTCAGGGATCTGCTTGGCAGAGGAGCATGAGATAAACTCCTGGAGGGAAGAGGGGCCCCCGAAAGCTGGTTAGTATTCAAGGATCACCTCCTCCAAGCTCAGGAGCGATGCGTCACGACAAAGAGGAAGGCGGGCAAAAATGCCAGGCAGCCTGCATGGATGAGGGGGAGATACAGAGAAAATGTCCGAGCAGCCAGGGATCAGGCCAGGAAGGCCAAAGCCCTGGTGGAGTTAAATCTGGCTAGGGACATCAAGGGCAACAGCAAAAGCTTCCGTCGGTCTGTCGGTGATGAAAGGAAGACTAGGGAAAATGTGGGCCCTCTCCAGAAGCAAACGGGAGACCTGGTTATCCGGGATATGGAGAAGGCTGAGATACTCAATGACTTTTTTGCCTCAGTCTTCACTGGAAACAGCTCCAGCCACACCACCCAAGTTTCAGAAGGTAAAGGCAGGGACTGAGAGAATGAAGAATCACCCACTGTAGGAGAAGATCAGGTTCAAGACCGTCTAAGGAACCTGAAGGTACACAAGTCCACGGGACCTGATGAGATGTATCTGTGAGTGCTGAGGGAACTGGCAGATGAAGCAGCTGATCCACTCTCTGTCATATTTGAGAAGTCGTGGCAGTCCAGTGAAGTCCCCACCAACTGGAAAAGAGGAAACAGAACCCCCATTCTTAAAAAGGGGGAAAAAAGAATGAGGGGTAATGGTTTTAAACTAAAAGGGGGTACACTCAGATTAGATATAGGGAAGAAATGCTCTCCTGTGAGGGTGGTGAGGCACTGGCCCGGGGTGCCCAGAGCAGCTGTGGCTGCCCCCTCCCTGGAAGGGTTCAAGGCCAGGTCGGACGGGGCTGGGAGCAGCCTGGTGTAGTGGGAAGTGTCCCTGCCCGTGGCAGGGGGGTTGGAACGAGGTGATTGGTATTGCCCCCTGTCCATCCCAAACAGTGTTTTCTTTGGTGAACAGCTCATCTGAACTGAAAACCAGCACAAGCCTGCATATGGATTTTAAAGATAAATAAAGATTTTGAGATAGGTGGGAATATCAACAGCGGTATTAGCCCCGTTCTATTATTACTAGCAGCAAATTAGAAGTACCTCGTTTCACATGGAATTTAAGAGAACATCTTGCTGCTCTCACACTTTGCTTCACCTTATGGTAAGGTAAAGGCGAGGTTACTTCATGGAACGATTTAGAACTGTCCACATGAAAATGAAGAAATAATAGGAAGATGCACATCGTAACGTACAAAAATCGCTCTAGTGGAAAGCATCTCCATCCTTCACAGACAATAATAATCTCACACATCCTCCCTTTCTTACTCTTTCTTTTTGCCTTCTCAAATTGCTAAAGCATGTACACTGCATGATGCAACTGTAAAATCACCTCCTCTGAAAACACAGTTTGCTCTGCTGCTTAGATTTAATTTCATAAAGAGAGACTTCCCAGACAACGTAACATTTCAGGACAAAATGTACAGCGAGAAACATACACAAGTTTTAGGAGTATAAAGTGACATACACAAGTTTTAGGAGCATAAAGTGACATATTATTTCTGGAAGCGAGAACAACTTTTCTACTCTCGGTTTCCTGCACTCGCCCTCAACTCTCTGCAGGTAAAAGCATTCTAAAGCAAGACGTCTTCTTTTAAAAGTTAAGAAATGATGCTATGAAGGAAGCCATCAGAGTTGCTACTGTGAGAGGCAGTTTCTTTCTTCCTCGGAGAAACATGTCCTCTGCTCCCGGTTCCTGCTGGCTTGATGACCGCTGGCCCCAAGCAGGAAGAAGACTCGCTTTTCCCTCTTCTAAGCACTGATTACATCCTCAGTGCAAGACCAGTGGTCCCGACGGCCAGCCACTACCCTTTCTCTGCTCTCCGTGCTAAAATATAAATCCCCTCAAAGGACTGCTGGTGTCCCCCAAAGCCAGGTAGGGCCTGGAGCTTCTGTGTGGTCTCAGCAAGTCTCACCGCCCACTTCTTCAGGGTGGGCAGCAGAGCAGGAGGTGCTGATCTCCTCTCTCTGGTGACCAGCAACAGGACACGAGGAGATGGAAAGAAGCTGTGTCAGGGCAAGTTCAGAGGGGACATTAGGAAAAGGTTCTTCACTGAGACGGTCCTTGGTCACTGGAACAGGCTCCCCAGGGAAGTGGTCATGGCACCAAGCCTGCCAGAGTTCACGGAGTGTCTAGACAATGCTCTTTTAGTTGTATGACTTAGTTGGAGGTATTTCTGCGAGGAGTTGGACTCAATGATCCTCGTAGGTGCCTTCCAACTTGAGATATTCTGTGATTCTGTGATTCTTCTTTAACACATCTGGCAGTGACGTGGCAAAGAGTATAAAGACAAAACTCAGGTCAGCAAGACTAGGAGTCTGTTTCTGTTGCTAAATATTGCGTGGATGTTTCAGTCAGGTCATGGGATGCTACGCTACCCGTTAGTTCACACCAGGAAGAACTGGCTGTGGATGTGGAGGTCGGGGCCATCCTGAGTGACCATGAGGCATTGGAGTTCAGGACCCGGAGAGGCCCTATCAAGGCAAAAACCAGGAACACAACCCTGGACGTCAGGAGAGCAGACTTGGGCCTCCTGAGGAGCCTGCTTTGCAAAATCCCATGGAATATGTTCCAGGAAAGAAGAGGGTTCTTTCACAAGAGGGTTCTTCACAAGAGCTGGTTGATATTCAAGGATCACCTCCTCCAAGGTGAAGAAAGCTCCATCCCAACAAGTAGGAAATCAAAGAAAAGCAGCAGGAGACCGGCATGGGTGAGTAAGGTGCTCCCAGGAGAACTCAGGCATAAAAAGGAAGATTATAAGGAGTGGAAGGCAGGACAGGTGACCCAGGAGGAGTAGAGAGTTGCTGTCTGATCTTGCAACGATAGCACCGGGAAAGCCAGGGCTGATCTGCAGTTGAATCCGGCAGCATTTCTGGATGTGAGCACGTGGAGGTTTAGTTTTTGTTATTAAGTGGTTTCCCCTATTAATTTATGAAGAGAAACAGGGTCTTCATGGAAAATTAATCCTTGCAGTTTTAAATTTAGATTTCCTCTGAAAATGCAGAAAGTGGCATCACCGTGTAATTATTTATTATTTAATAATAAACTAACAAGTTACAGTGACCATGGAAACCCACGGAGCAACCAATTGCTTTTATAATTTTAGCTCCTATTGCTGCAGCACATTGACTGTTGTCTTTATTAGGATTGGATTACTGACTTGTTTTCTTGTTTTGTCTTTGAATGTTGTGGTTGATGGCATGGTTTCCCAGGTTTTTGATCCCTATTGGTCATGCCAGGGGATAAACAGAACATATTAATCACATTTCTGTCTCTGTTGGAGAGGATAGCTTGTTACAATGTTCTTGCGGCATTCTATTATATTGAAGTCCCTCTTCCCCACTAAAACATACAGTCACTGCACTTAAAATTAAAGGATTTTTGGTAAACGAAGGTCAGTGGTCTTCCTAGTAATGTGCAGTCCCATTCTTATCTTGAGCTTGTTGAACACAAAAGCTGTATTTTTGCCTAATACTGTAAATAGGCTGGGATGCACTGCCCACAACTCTGTTGATGAAGAAATAAATTACCTTGCTAGGCTCTTGATGCTTTGCTTTAATAAGCAGGAAAAACATATTGATCAAAAAGAGGCCTTTTCTACACATGCCCGTAAAACAAACAGCTTGAGCAGGACCTCTGAGGGCAGGGGAAGAGAATATGTCATCCTACACGGATTGTCAGTCAGGAGAGTGCTAGCAGTGCTAACTCATGTCTTCAGCAAGAATGAGTCACTCACTGGGTGACTAAGAAAAAGTTGGAGGGTTATCAAAAAGAATTAGTAACATATATTTTGGCACTTAAAAGAGAAAATATGTGAAAAGGAAGAGAGGTCAAGTCAAGGGGGTAGGCTTTGTGCAGATACATCTTTCATTTAACCAGCATAAGCTGAAAAAAGGGTGTGAGTACAGATGCTTCTGGCTTTGCAGGAGTCCCAGAAGTCTTATGTATATTTAAAGCAGTAAGTCCTAAAAAAGAGTCTTGAAATCAGAGATACAACTGTTCTCTTCTTTTCCTTTCCTGTGTGTCCTGCCAATGTGTCATGCAGTTAGCATACCAAACTCGACTCTTGGTTACTTGGGACCAAGGTCGGTAGGACTGACATTCCTGCTGACAGCTGCAGGATGGGTAGCCCTCCAGAAATGGTCCGTGGCAATCATGTTGCTGTGCCTGTTCTCTTTGACTGCACTTACAGTCTGTGTTTGCTCCACTGCTGTGGTTTTGTCACCAGTTCAGAGCCTACATGTTTTCCACTCTATAGTCCTTCGTTACGACTTTACAACGCACTGTACTGTCTTCCTCTTTCTATCTAGATCAATGTGTTCTCCCTTTATTGAGCTATTCTGTGAGCAGGGACTTCTGATTTCAGAGCTCTTTCATTTGCCTTTAATTCAGAGAAGGCTGCTCTTCAACTATCACAGCTGTTCGCTCATCCCTAGCTGCAGCTCAGCCAAACCAATTAGCAATGGTGGTGGTGCCTCTGCGAGAACATATTTATGAAGGGGAACCTTACAGTGAGTTGCGACTTGTGAGGAAGAGTAACAATCAGGACACCTATTTGAACACCAAGGTCAGTGGACAGAAGAAGGAATGGTTGGATGTACACACGAGCAGAGACCTCTGCATCCCATGTTGAGAGGCAGGGCCACCCCCCCTGCCAGCCATGGAGGTCCACAGTGGAGCAGAGGCTGACTTAAAGACTGTGGAGAAGTCCACAGCAGGACAAGCAGCTGCGCTTAAAGGAAGCCAGGACTCTGAGGTGAGACGCGGCCCGCGCTGTTGTAGTTCGGTGCTGGGAGGGCTGTGACATGCGGGGGGGACCCACGTCTGAACAGCATGGGAACGGCTGCAGCCTGTGGGGAGGAATCATGCCGGAGAATATTCATGGAGTACTGTCTCCAGTCAAAGGGGAGCACATGGAGCAGGGGAGGAATGTGCGGTGTTCACCTCATGTCCTGAGCAGAAAGGAGCAGTGAGCTGACTGTGACCCCCATCCTCTGCCCCCTGCGCTGCTGGGGGAGGAGGCAGAGGGATCAAGACCAGAGCTGAGCCTGGAAAGAAGGGAGGGATGGGGGGGAGGTGTTTTTGGACTTGATGGGGCTTCTCACTGTCCCACCTTGTCTGTTAAGTGCTGTCATTGCTAGCATTTGAATTAAACTGATATTCTTTTTTTTTCTTCCCCTAACGAGTCTGTCTTTTGCCTATGACTGTAATGGGTGAGCCACTCTCCCTGTCCTTATCTGGTTTACTGATCCATTTTGCTTCATTTTCTCATTCCTATTTGTCGTTGTTTGAGCCTGGTCAGCAGCCAACCACCACGCAGTGGCTCTCTCTCCCTTCTCTCCCGGCAATAAGAAGGGACAGAGAGTCAGGCTTGGGGTTTGAGATAGGGCTCGGATGGAGAAAAAAATCACCCTTTATGGGCACAAGCAAAAGGCAGACTCGTTAGGGGAAGAAAAGAAAAGAACATACATTTATTCCAGACACTAACAACACATAACACAGTAGGACAGTGAGAAGCATTGCCACATCTTGAGAACACCTTCCCCCCACCCCTCCCTTCTTCCCAGGCTCAGTTCTGCTCCCGATATCTCTACCTCCTCCCCTCAGTGGTGCAGGGGCAGGGAATGGGGGGTGCAGTCAGTGCTGCCACTTTTTCCATCTTTGGTGGGGGGAGCTTCTGGAACTTGTTCCCCCGGCTCCATCATGGTCCCCCTCTCACAGCGGACAGTCCTCCACAAACTTTCTCCAACGTGAGTTCCTCCCATGGGCCACAGCATTCCCCACACTGCTCCATCGTGGGTCACCAACTTTCTCCAACTGGAGTCCCTCCCACGGGCTGCAGCCCTTCCTGAGCTGCTCCGGTGTGGGACACCCCCGCATGCTGCAATCTTCCCAGCGCTGAATTACAGCAGCGGGGCTACCTTTTCCCACAAGACCCCGGCCTTCTTCGGGCACAGACACCTTGATCATTCAGACAGAAGCCACAGGCCACAAATCAATGTCTGCTCCACCATAGATCTTCATGGGTGGCAGGGGGGGCTGTCCTGCCGTCTCACCACAGGATACAGGGGGGTCTCTGCTCTGGCACACCTCCCCCCTCCTTTCTTCCTCCGTTCCTCCACTGACCTTGGTGTTCACGCAGCTGCAGCAACTCCTCCTCACAAGTCCGATTTCCCGTCACCACGTCCCTTCTTAAATACATTATCACAAAGGCGCAGCTGATTGGCTCAGTTTTTAAGCAGAGGTGGAGCTGACTTGGAGCTGGGGGTGCTTCAAGAAACTTCTCACAGGGGGCCGCCCCTATAGTCCCTCCCCTGCCACCAAAAAAAACCTCCACCACTCACTCAACCCAGGACACTATTCCTGAAAGGGCAAGACCTGAGTGAACGGCTGCATGGTGCTCAGTTGCCATCTGGGCTCAAACCACAACACCAGATTAAAGAGAAACTTAAGCAAACTGGGCATATGTAATTTCATATGACATAAGAGGTTGCACCCAGAAATGCTGAAGGAGCTGCATGATGTCACTGTAAGTTCAATCTTGATTATCTTCAAAAGGTCACAGCAACAGGGAGAGGTTCCTGAAGACTGGAGGAAAGCCAATGTCACTCCCATCTTTAAGAAGGACAAGAAGAAAGATCCAGGGAACTATAGACTGGCCAGCTTCACCGTAATTTCTGGGAAGATAATGGAGCAACTAATCCTGGAAGACAATCTTCCAAACATGTGAAGTACAAGACAGTAGTCAGGAATAGTCAGTGTGGATTCACAAAGAGGAAGCCATGCATCACCAACCTGATAACTTTCTACAATGAGGTCACTGGCTTGGTGGATGTAGGGAGAGCAGTGGATGTTGTTTATCTTGACTTTAGTAAGGCTTTAACGCTGTCTTCCCATAACATCCTCACAGAAAAGCTGATAAAGTAAAGGTTAGATAAGTGCACAGTGAGGGGCATTAAAATAGCCTGAACATCCAGGCCCAGAGGGTTGTGATCACGGGCTTAGAGGCAAGTCATTAGCAGTGTATCCCAGGGGTCAATACTGAGGCCAGTACTGTTTAACATATTCACCAATGACCCAGAGTGCACCCTCAGAGAATACACAGACAGTACAAAACTGGGAGGAGTAGCTGATCCATAAAATGGTTGGTTGTACTGCCATTCAGGGGGATTGAAGACAGACAAAAGGATGTCCGAGAGCAATCTCATGAAAGTTAACAAGGATATATGCAAAGTCCTGCATCCAGGAAAGAACAACCCTGGGCACCAATACTATGCTGTGGTACAGTACATGCTATGGACTAACTGGCTAGAGATCAGCTTTGCAGAGAAAGATCTTAGGGTCCTGGTGAACAACAGTCTGACCCTGAGCTATCAGTGCAACCCCATGGCAAATCAGCCAACAACTTCCTGGGCTGCATTTAAGTGGGGTTTGGATTAGCTGACCTCCAGAGCACCATCTCAAGCTGAATGATTTCATAATTCTCAAGCAAAGCCGGATTTAAAGAATGTAACTTGTCATGGATTAAAGTATTTGTGAAAACAGTTAAAATACACATGACTGTTAAATATAGGGCTGATAAAACATATGCACACTGGAATAGGACTGTGGAATATAAAATCAGGACCTAGGTAAACCTAAGGTATTCTAAACAGCTATCACTTTAGCCTGGAAGTACTGATCACCTGAGAAACACTGTTTTCCTCTCTTTATGCCAGGCAAATACTCAGAAGAGCAATGCCCTAGTAATTGTTAGTGCTTTGAAGCATTCAGATGGAACTCCAAACCAGCTAAACTCAAAGGTTTATTGATGTGTTGTGGTTTAACCCCAGCCAGTAGCTAAGCACTACACAGCACCTTCCAGTGGGATGGGGAGGAAAATCGATAAAACTCCTGGGCTGAGGTAAGAACAGCTTAATAACTAAAATAGAATAAAATATAATAAAAACAACAATAAAAAATAGAGATAGTAACAGTAATAGTAACAGTATTAATTATGGTACTAATAGTAGTGAAAATTAGTATAACAAAATGTGATAGAAATAAAACCCAAGAGAAGACAAGTGATGCACTGGGCAACTGCCCACCACCCGCTGACCGATGCCCCAGCAGCAATTCCCCCCCCAGCCCATGCGCTGAGCCTGACGCTCCATGGTATGGAATAGCCCGTGGGCTAGTTCAGGTCACCTGTCCTGGCCACGCTCCCTCCCAGCTTCTTGTGCACCCCCTCGCTGGGGGAGCAGGGGGAACTGAAACGTCCTCAGCTCAGGGTAAGTGCTACATAGCAACAGCTCAAGCATCAGTGTGTTACCAACATTATTCTCACACTGAATCCAAAACACAGCACGGCACCAGCTACTGGGAAGAAAATTAACCCTATCCCAACTGAAACCAGACATGACAAAACCCCAGAAACACCATCCACTAACTTAAGTGACAAGCAAAAGACTCTGACTCATCTAAGCAGAACTGTGGGGACTGGCAATCACGGCCATATCATCAGGTACCTCAGTTTACTGGCCTGTTGGTAAGTACAACCAGTCCCAGAGATTTCAAAAGGAAGCAGAAGGACTATCTCAAAAATATGAAATAAACTGCCCATGGATTCCTTACCAAGTACAGAAATGTACAGATTGGTTTATGTCCAAAAGAAAAGGGGGGGCTAAAATGTATTATATTTTTATAGTATCTAAATGTGTCTTTGAATTATTTGTTTGTGATATCTTTTCATTTCCTGAATGTTGCTGACTGACCTGATTTCTACCACCTGTTAGTGAGTTTGACAGGCCAATTACATACTGAACAAAAAAATATTCCTATTTACATTTTCAAATTTGTTGTTAAATTTCTTCAGTCTTCTGCTGATCTAGTAGTTCAAGCCAGGATAGACCAAAATGCTGAAATTAATGCTAACAAAAATTCACCTTCTTAATGCAGTACAACAGTTTTAGGACTTACATATCTGATAACAAAAGATGGTCTGTCCTCATTTTCTGATTTGCACTCAGCAGACCCCAGGTTCAGTCTTGATGGCTGCTGCTGATTTTCTCTGCAGAGTTCACAGAAGTGGTGTCCAGTGTTTAAGAGAAGGAGCTTGTGATTCCAAGGACCTTGTGTGCCTTCCATAGCTTTCACCCCTGTTCACTGATGTCTCGCATTGTGTTAGTGATCAGTTCCTTCATTTGGGTGATCTTTGATTCTCTGTTCTGTTTTGGCCCTGGCAGAGAAATTCACTGTTGTACAACTACCTTAGTAAAAACAGGTACAAGTCATTTGCAATTCCTTGCAAAGAAGACTAAGCTGTAAGTAGAAATTAGTTCAGCAGAAATTGACCATATGATAGCAGAATCTGGATCTTTGTATGTACAAAATGGAAGAATCTGTGAATCTGGTCTGGAGTGCAACAAAGTCAAAATCAGAAAACAGTCAGCATGGGCTCAAATATCCTATCTCCTTCCATATTATCCCAGTTGTATAATCTCTTACCTAGAGCTCAATCCTGAAAGATTGTTCCCTGGCTGTCACAGAGCTCAGAGAAGGATGAAGTAAAACACTTATGAGCTTAAAAAATTCAGAACCTTGGTTAAAATCTTGAAATTCTGACTTCTGTGGAAGTTAATGCAAATAAAGCTTGTAAGTATCTCAGATCAAGAGATAATTTGTGGGGCCAAATTCAGCAGCTTGTAACTCAAACAAATGTACTTTATCTGCTGTGTGTGTTTTGTTCCAGCAGGGAGTGCAAAATTAGGATATTTATCTAATAGATAAGCTTTTTTATATATATAGCCACTAAACAAGGCACACAAAGCACTGGTAGCACTTTTTCATAGAAGGCCTAACAGGTTGCAATCCAGTCTGGATCAGAGGATGCTATGATAAATTGGGGAAGCATGAGTTCACTAAGCATGCAAAGAGGAATGTTTGTAAAAGCTAGATATAAACCACTGTCAGCAAAAGACAGGAGGTAGTGAAATGCCATCAAATCAAGAGGTCATTATCTGCTCAAATCTTACCTTCAATAGAAAGCAATGCAAGGACTATTTGGTTTTGTGGGCTTTCCCTGGAACAAACTGCTTAATAATTAGGAAATAAGAGCACCTGGAATAGCAGATAAAAAAATGAGAAATGGATGGCTTTAGTTCAGTCAGTCAGATTTGCTGTTGTTAAAAATCTAGGACCCCTAGCATAGCCTTAAACCTTACCTACCATTGCTGCCTAAGGTATCTAGATACCAAGCCAACAGCAAAACTAGACTCAAATAAACTCAGTCAAAGGTTATAAAACTGTAACCAGATCTGCATCCTTACCATAAACACTTACATAATCCTTCCTTCTATACTGAAGTAGAAGCTCTGTAATGGTTGCTCTTGTGGAGAACTCTATTTTTGGTGCTATTCCCTTAAAAATAACAGTTACAGGGAAAAGATTAAAAACATAATCACTGCATATGCATCGCCCTTATAATCAGAACACTTAAGTCCCTCATTGCAACCACAGAATCAAGTGTCACTAAAAGAGGCACTGCAGCTAAAAAAAGACTTGTGGCAAACTCACCAGCAAAGAACAGTTGTAAAGCAATTTTACTATGAAAAGCAGTAATTTGATTTTAGTCTGCTCTTTCAATAGGTATTAACCATGCAAGAAGGGAAACATGATGCACAAAGCCAGCAAGATCAAAATGTATGCCCGAGGCACTAGCACTGCCCCAGAGCATTTCCTCATAAAGCAAATATTGTGAAGAAAAGTGAGTAGAATCCTTTGAACTACAGAGAAGATATATAGCTCTTTACTGTTTGATTAGCAGCTCCATTTACACACTAGTCTTCCTGGTGGATCAGGGTGGCCCAAAGGACACCTTCCAAAATGGTGTGAAAAGGAATTCCAGCTTGCCTTTCAAGGCAGGTAATGTCATGACAAATACTGTAAAAGACACTAATGATCTCTAACTAGAAAAAAAAAAAAAATAAAAGAAAAATCTGTTCACTTGCCTTCATCTTTGAATTGTGCATTTCTAGCAATTCCTCTTTCTTCTACAAGAGCAACAGAAATCACAGTACAGTACCTTCAAACTATATTTGCCCGTACCATTATGCAAAGAGGAGGAGAAAACAGAAGCAGCAGCAATGAAGAAGCAAAGAAATGAGCTCTCCATCTGTTGGCTTTACAGGATTGGCTCGCTCCAGAAGAACAAAAACCTGAGACCCTGCAATGACAAAGGAATGCTAAGTGAATTAAAGTCAAGGGATGAAAACTTTTTAAATTAATACAACATCTGCTTCTGTAGGTATGACTGAAAAAGTCTGGCTAAAGGTTACTTGCAATGATGAAAAAGAATGTACACAAATCATTGTTATAAATAATTTTTTCCCTCTCCTTGCCCCCCTACCAATAATAAATAAGATTTTTGCTTTTAAAAGACTAGATAGTCATTAACTTCATGACTTGTCACAGATTTCAAAATAAAGAATTGGTGATGGAAAAAATAAAAAGCACACCTGACAGGTTAACCTAATGTTACATTAGGTGTCAGAACACAGCCTGGCCTAAGAATAGAAAAATCATGTAATTGACTCAAGGAGAAGTTGTAGAGGCTGACACTCAAATGGTTAAATTCAGAGCAATGTATGAAGGGTGTCATGTGTACCAGATGATGTCCTTTAGAAAGACAGTCAGACAAGCAGATGGACAGACTATGTGAATACATGGACCTACTTCAGCATTTTAGTTATTCAACTATTCAAGCATTTTAAAAATCATACTTACTTCCAAGCATTTCAGTCACTGTAGCAGGATCTACAGCACTTTCAAACACCTTCAGGAAAACTGTAATAAGTAAACAAATTCATTATAACACCAACTGATTTAACAATCTAGCATTCATAAGAACACTTTAATACCTATTCAAAATAATTCCCCTATTCTTTGTCAAGCTGCCACTAAGCAAAATCAAACTTAACTAATACCTTATATCTATGTTTGTGTACTTTAAGATATAATTTACATTTTAAAGCTACACAATATTTTGAAAAAAATACTTTAAAGCTGAAATTGCATATTCATCCATGTCTGCATCAACTTCAGAACAGTCTGTACTTTGCAGGAGAAATTATCATGTTCACAGTACCATAACTGCAATTCTATGAACTGTAAAATAGCAGAACCACAAGTACAATTAGGAAATCTATGTTTTGAAAAACACGTAAATTTTTAGCTGATCATATAGGTCACATCCTGAAAGAAAAACTTAAAAGCTCTAACTGCAAGCACCTGAAAGCACAGGTAATCTTTTGCAGGGATTATAGACAAATGAGAAGGTGTTAGGAAGTTTCCCTGTATGTTTCTATGTATTATGTAAAGATTGCCCAAATATCTTATAAAAATAAAATTAATTAATAAATCATCTATGAAATGTCTTTCAAGAAACAAATTCAAATGCATTCGCCTGTATCTAGCTCTTGTTTATTTTAATACAACAAATTATGTCTTATTCAAATATACTCTTCTCATGCCTTGGAGTGCAATTCTGACCCCTTTGATACCACTGATTTTATTTGGGCGTTCACGCTGGACATTCTACCTATCTAAAGAATCTGCCCTCAGCTGCAACCCACTTATGAATATTTGCTGCTTTTTTGTTTCTTTTGAATGTGCCAATATCCTTCTTCAAATCATATCAGTCTTTTCAGACAATACTTTAGCAACAGTTGTTTTCTGAGAGGGCTGTGCAAAGCCATATTTTCCCTAAGAAAATGTGTTGCTTCATGATAGTTGACACCTACTAATGAAAGTCACGTGCACAAAAAACACATTACTGTGAGGTGAGACAAACAATGAACTTATCTAACAACATCTACTTCATAATTACTTTGATGCTCCTTTTACGACTGGGTAAATATACAAGAAACTATTCTTCTATGGACGTGTGTTGTATTACCCACTTCTGGTCAGAACATGGCAATGGGCTCCTATTGCAGAGAGACTGAAAAGTCGTGTGTTCAGATGTGTGCTTGCCTTGAGACAGGGTAAGGGTCTGGAGCAAAATTATGCTTTGTAGCTTTCAGATGCATTAACTATGTAACTTTTCACTTGTGTCAATAATAACCACAGGAGGAAAGGGAAAGTAATCATGTCCCTCAAGGAAAGGCCTCTTGTGAGCCAGCCACAAAGAATCTTAGAGAAACAGACAAGTAGAGTGGTTTGAAAAAGAATGGAGAAGAATCTGAAATGAAATAGGTCAGAAAGACACTGTTTCTCTAAACTTCATCTATTCCTGTTTTGCAGTGGCTTCAGCATGGTTTTCCTTGTCAATAGACATAGTCATTCAGTCTTAACCATTTTTTAAAAAACAGTTTTCAAACACAAAATACCATTCACCAGAACTATAGCCAATGAGAATACTACAGAGTACAGGAAAAACACACTGAAGACTCCTGTACTCACTGGTTCCAGGTGTTAGAGTGGCATGTAAAATGGCAAAACCATCCGTCTATCACTTATTTGAGTCTTTATTTACATGACATGTCTCCTGTACTGACAAAAATTTTGAATAGATGATAGCCACATTAGAATTGAGGTAGCATATTGCTTCCAGAACAACCATATCTGAAACAGAGTAAATTCAATTACTCTCATGTACATTGTTGCCGTTAATGATATTAGGTAAGAACTGTCCATGTGAGAAATGACCTCTCATAACTGCTGTTGTCAAAGGTCTAGATCATCAAATCTTAAAGAAATATTAAAATCTACTCCATTACAGAAATGGGCCTAATACTTAAATCCTACCATGTTGAAACACATGCAAAACAAGAATAACCAGTCAGTTGTAAAGAAAAATAAGTCTGTGTATGAATTACAGCTTGTATAAGGCTTAAGACTTTCTAGTCCAATAGCATGTAACAAGTGAAAGTCACCTTTTCAAAGCACATCATCTCATGAAACAAAAGAGGGAAAACAGGAGGAAGGCATTCTGTCTCTTTGTGTTGACCCAAGATGCACAAACTGAGAAAAATGTCATGTTTCTCAGGCAGAAACACATCAGGACATGTAAGGAAAGAAAAAAATACATTCACATGAGACTCCTTAGCCCAGTCTTACACACTGCATCTCTCAGAAGGGACTCAGCAGGCCCTTGGCTTCATTACTGATCGTCCCAAAAGGGTGCCAGTTAAGATCTATCCTTTGGAATGCTCTCATTTTGTATTTTTGACTTTTCTTTTTCATCATTTCATGTAACAGGGAGTGATTCCATAGATCTTAGCATTACACACAAGAGAAACATTCAATACCTGTAAGGAAATGAATGAGTGAAAGCCACCAATTTTTTTTTTTTCTTATATCTGATGAGAAGATCTGTTATGAGCAACATCTTGGTATTATCCATGGCAGTAATCCCCTTCATTAAATAAACATCAAACAGCAAGAAAAACCTCACATGTAATCTAGTCTTTTCCTTGCAAACTCTTTCTAGCAGACCTTATACCTGCAACCCCAAAGAATCAGTCAGAGCCCCCTGTTTGGAGGAAGACCTAAATACCCATGGATGAGAAACTATGGCTACAATGAGGGCACGTTTTAATCTTCACAGGGATATTATCAATGGAAAGCTATGCCCTCATTTTATGTTAACTTCCATTTCAAGGTGAGAACCAAGCTGTTAAAATCCGGACCGCTCCCTGGGAGCTCTTGTAGCTGTACGTGCATTCACAGATACGCATACACAAACACATCATGTGTATATACATATGCACATGTATAATACATATACGGGAACACATCTGTTCGTGTCTGTGCAGCTTTGCCATATGGTGCCTGTAAGGGGAAGAAAGAATGTTTTCACATGACAAGCCTGATAAGAATAACGGGAGGCAGCAGAACCGGTAAAGATCTGATTGAAACAAGGAATCAGGACGGTAAGATTGAAACAATATCCAATTAAAATAGTGGTGAAAAGAGGGCTTGAACCTCTAGTAAATCTAATTCTAAACATGTTTGGATTACTAATATGCCTATTATTACTATAATTAATATAATTATTAACATAATTACTGATAACTATTATTATTATTATCATATTACTAATATGATTGGCATTCACCAAATTAAATATAACACTCCAATATTGGCGGTAAAGAAAGCTAATGGGAAGAATTACCGGCTGGTACAGGATTTAAAAGCAACTAATACAGTAGCAGAAGATACACATCCTGTAGTAGCAAATTCACATACATTGTTAACTACATTACATGAAAAATTAAGGTCGTTTACAGTGATTGATTTAAAGGGTGACTTCTTTTGCATCACCTTAAGGTTGGAGGGCCAGGAATTGTCTGCCTTTGAGTGGGAAATCCCTGAAACAGGCCGCAAAACAATTAAGGTGGCTGGGCAGTAACGTCTCAAAGGCAAATATTGCTAACTCCTAGCTTAATGAAAAAGGTGGCCACAAAAGAACCTGAAGCTACTCATTGAGGAATGGAAAGCCTGGTTAAATATTTGTGGAAAACTATAATTAGTAGACACATGACTGAAACTGTAAAATCAGTTGTTGAAAAATGTGAAATTTATAAGATAAATAATCTTAATACAGGCAGTAAGGTAGTTTTGGGAATAACTAGGAGAGGACTGATTCCAGGACAATATTATCAGATAGGTTTTGCTGAATTACCAAGAACAGGGAGATATAGATATCTCTTGGTCTTAGTGGACACGTTTAGTGGATGGCCAGAAGCCTACCCCTGTTGCACCAATATGGCTCGTGAGGTAGTGAAACAGCTGCTGAATCAAATAATGCCCTGATTTGGTATACCAGCAGGCATATCTTCAGATAGAGGTCCCCATTTTTATCACAGAAGTTCAGAAAGTGGGAAAAGCATTTAGGGATTAGATGGGACCTACATACCCCATAAAGGCCTCAGGCCAGTAGAAGGCTAGAACATTTGAACTAAAACTCTCCAACTAAAACTGAGTATGATATGCCAGGAAATCTGATTAAAAGCACTACAAATAGCATTATTAAGAATAAGAATACAGACTGGAAAAATCACATAAGCCTGTATGAATTAATGTATCAGTTCCTGAAGACTTTTCTTTGCAGCAAAGCCAGGATCTCCAACAACACCTGTTGGCCCTGGGGAAGACCCTCCAGCAGCTTCACAACCAGATTTGCATCACCAAAGTGGGTAGACACTCCGGCTCACCGATTCCAACCAGGGGACTGAGTCTAATTTAAACATGGAAAGATGAGCCACGGGCAACTAAGTGGCAGGAACCCTTCGAGGTACTATTGACCACCTATACAACACTGAAGGTAGCAGAGAAGGGACCTTGGATACACTACTCTCGGGATAAAAGAGGCTCTGCTCCATGGATGGTGAAACAAAAATCATCACTCAATTTGAAGTTTGTAAGAAAAACTTGTGGGTAATAATTTCAACTGTTTTATTATTATATATATATATATAATAAAAAAAAAAAAAAAAAAAAAAGAAGGCAGGGGACCAGCTTTTTAACCAGGTCGGACTTAGGGCAAGAAATTAAATGGTAAAAGAATTTAATATAGACTGGTCCTGATTGACTAGCTGGTTTCCATCCCTTCCATGGGTAAAGCAATTTGTTGTTATTATAATTTTGATAATCTTTACATGCTTGATCACTCAAATATGACTGTTACAATCTTGTTTAGTATTATATATTACATATATTACATCATATTATGATAGTATTATAACTATCAACTTTTAAGTGTAAGAAAGGATGGTCCCAGGCTGGAGGGCTGATAGTAAACATGATAATCATTGTCATCTTTATTGTAATCAGTACAATCAAAAGAATAATGTTATGAGACTTATGAGAATTTATGGACTCTAATAAGTCTTAAAGGGGGGAATTGATACCTCCTGACAATTGCCATGGCGAAATTGCTAGCAACAGATGATAAGTGGAAGGGAGGAGCTGGGTATCCTGTTAAGCTTTGGATAAATGTAACTAGGACAGAAAGACCCCAAACTGTCCAATTTGATGCCTGTCAGGTGTTGAACTGTGGAAGTGTTGAGACCTAAAGACAAGTAGTGAAAGTAAATATCTATGCCCTGAGACACAAATTCATAGGGGGCTACCATGTCCCGGGTGGAATAATTTATGGTGGACTATCATCTACCAGGGATGGCCCTATACACCTCCCCCATCCAATACAGCAAAGGCATTAAAGGATCAAATAAGCATATCTAAAGGGGTCCCCAGTCCCACCTGCTCATCTTTGCAATGTAATCCTATAGTAATAACCATCAAAAGGCTGATAACCTCGTAGATCGCACTTATGGCCTTGGGGCAGATGTAACAGGGAAGGACCCCGTAGCAAGATTTAGAATAGCAGTATGGGCATCACAGACTAAGATTAGTAAAGAGAAAAAGCAGTGCACTCAATCCCCCGAAGAAGGAAAATTGAGTCCCCCTAGTGATCCTAAAATTGTGACGGTTGTGAAACAAAGGATCTTAAACAAACTTCTGAAATAGAGGCAGGATACAGGGATACAAATGCCTGGGTAGAATGGATCAAATATATGGTACAGAGTTTAAATCATAGCAATTGCTATGCCTGTGCAACAGGAAGACCAACGACACAAGTTGTTCCCTGCCCCATGGGTTTGGACTCAGGATTCACAAGGCATGCAGTGCATGATTGCCCTCTACAAGAAGGCTGCTTGGGGTAATGAAACTTGCAAGTATTCAGCATTACTATTTCCTGCCATACAGGACAAGGATATCAAAGTACCACCTGCTTTTTCCACTGCCTTTGGTCTCTCATGACAGGGTAATAAGGCTACCAGACTTTTGGGAAAAGTCAACTTACACACAAAAACCTTGAATGTGACTAACAACAGTGCAGGAAATTACTCAGCATTAAGTACCCTCAGAGTAGACCTGTGGTGGTATTGTGGACGAAGAATCCTGCAACCCATCCTACCAGCAGTTTGGAAGGGAACATGTGCAGTTGTCCAACTGACCATCCCATTCACCCTGGCATTTGAAAAAAGATCAGAACCTTCAGGTAGACATGCAAAGAGGAACCTAGGAGTATCATCTGATGATCAAATATACATTGACTGCATTTGAGTTCCTTGGGGAGTCCCAGATGAGCATAAGGCAAGGAATTGAATATTGGAAGTGTCTGAGTCCTTTTTATTCTGGCGGGTAACTATAAACAAGAACGTAGACTGGATAAATTATGTTTATTATAATAATCAGAGGTTTATAAATTATACTAAAGATGCAGTAAAGGGGATTGCCAAGCAGCTAGATGCTACAAGTAGAGTGGCCTGGGAAAACAGAACAGCTCTAGATATGATAATTGCTGAGAAAGGAGTTGTATGTGTAATGCTGGGGAACAAATGCTGTACTTTTATTCCAAATAACACAGCCCCTGATGGGACTATCACTAAGGCATTGCAGACAGAAACTTACTACCTTGGCGGATGAACTAGCAGAGAATTCAGGAATAGACAGTTCACTGACTGAGTGGCTGGATTCCTGGTTTGGGAAATGTAAGGGAATGGCCGTATCCATCCTCACTTCTTTGATTGTAGCAGCAGGTGTCCTAGCAGCAGTGGGATGCTGCATAATCCCTTGCATCAGAGGATTGGTTCAACGCCTCACTGAAACTGCCTTGTAAAAACAGAGGCCTCGGGGACCACCCCCTCTACCTTGACAAGGTGCTGTTACTAGAAGAACAGGGAGATAAGGACGCAAGAGATGACCTGTCATCAGAGAAAAGATGCGAAATCATGTTGTCAACACTAGAAAATACTCATGGAGCAATACTCTGAGAAATGGGAAAAGCAACAAGGGTATAAATAAAAAACAGGGGGAAATTGTAAGGGGAAGAAAGAATGTTGTTTTCGCCTGACAAGCCTGATAAGAATAACGAGACGGGCGATTCACACCTAGCCTGTGGCTAGAAGTGGTCTTTTTGTTAACTGTGATGACCCAGTACTTGGAACTAGTTTTAGGTGGCTGGAGATACCGA